AACTGGTTTACATAGATCACTTTTCTGAAGTTTAAATTTGTTCTGAGCATGTGAAGAGAATCAACTGTCCTCTGTAGTGGGTGGACATGGGTTTTCCTAAAGATATGTTCAAGTTCTAAACCCCAGTACCTGTGAATGTGACCTTATTTGGAAATAGGGCTTTTATAGATGTAGCTGAGAGCCTTGGGATGAGACCATCCTGGATTTAGGGTGGGCCTAAATCCAATGACTGATGTTCTTCTGAGAGAAAGATTTGAGACAGGGAGACACAGAGCAAGTGCCGTGCGAAGCTGGATCAGAGTGATGCTGCCACAGCCAAGGAATGCCTGGGGCCACCAGGGGCAAGGAGGGGCTCTTCCCAAGGGCCTTTACAGAGAGTGTCTTCCTGCTGCACCTTGATTTTTTTGACTCCTGTGCTCCAGATCCATGAAATAATAAATTTCTGCTGTTTTAAGCCACCGAGTTTATCGTTATTTGTTAAGGCAGCCCTAGGAAATGAAAACATCTTCCAAGACACAAATTTCAAGAAATCAAATTGTAGGGAATTGCTATCATTAAATGTAGCTACACAGATTACTCGTATTTTTCTAGCAATACAAAAAATCATGTCAAGACATTATATTCAACATGTGATAAGTGATAATACGGTCCTGAAAGGCCCAAACCAATTAGAATATAAATGGCGTTTTTCAGATATTAACTACACATGACAATTGTAACAGGGCTGCCAAACAGAACAAGGAATTCAGTTAAAAGGAGAATGCACTGTTTATCTCAAATACAAATTTAATTAGTCATCCTGTATTTTTATTTGCTAAATGTAGAACCCTATAATTACAGCAGAAAAACTGCAGATCTCAAAGTCACACAGCTAATATAATGTTGAACTTGGCTTTGAAATTATGTGGTCAGACTCCCCAAGACCACTTGCTTTCTAGTCCATCAAGCTGACATAGTAAAACTTTGGAAAAGGCAGTACCATTCCAAGAAGTCATCTGGTTATTCCTCTGCAAAACAGGTTATAAAAATGGAAGAACAATGGACAGTTTTAACTGCTGAGCCCAGCTCAGTGACTATTACATATAAAGGGAGATGATGGAGGTGCAAAGTTCAAGCAACAGTCTAGAAAAAACTCAATACGTTCTCTTTCACTATTCTGTACAAGGGTAATATGAGACATAGGGGTAATATTAGGATTTTGGTTTTTTTGAGCAATAGGTGAGGGCGTTATTGTAGTGAATGTAAAAGAGTATAATATTTTCTAATTACAATGTAATATAAACATTTTTTCTTACATTCATCTTTCAAAATTCACATGGCTCCTAGGCACCATCAGCCTTAAAATCACAACAGTTTTTTTGAACCACCTCATCCAATTGATCTCAGGTGCTACTGGATGCTCTCCTGAACCATCTCTCATAGTTTCCTTTCCTTCTCCATTTCCACATCCATAATTATGGTTCAGATCGTCAAAACTATACTCCTACATAACTGCAGTACTTCCCAACTGGTTTTATCACTCTAATTTATCTCCATCTAATTATCCTATATGCATATAATTACATATACATAAATTCACAAACCTAAAGTGCTCCAATATTACCTACATAATCATATGCTTAACATATTTGTTATTCACAGGTGGATCTAAGATAAATTTTAATCAATCTCAAACTTAACTCAGGTTGTTTCCCCTGTTTAAGTTTCTCTTCTCGTATCCACCCAATAAAAACATCATGAATCTGGGCAAGTAAGTAAAATAGTGAAGATGAATTGAAGTTTGCATTTTAAACACTTTGGGATGTTCTCACTTCCACAAAGTAATACTTTTCTTAAGAACCTGGCCCTCTCATTCTACCTTAATACAATTCCTGTTTTTAGCAGAGACATCTATAGAGAACAATTTGCTCCTTTAAGAAAGAGACTAGTGCATGCACAGTGCCATGCAGACATACAATTGGGGAACATGATCGTGCCCGCCCTGTCCAAAGGTCTGCTAGTTGGTTCAGACAACTGCACTCATGTCTTGCCAGACTTTGAGTGGTGTTTTCTCAAGATTACATTGACTGTACATACAACCACCAGAATCCCACAGACATGATGCGCCTGTCTCAGTACCTCATATCAGCAGGTCCACAGTGTCTGTCTGCCTCATCACTGCTGGTTAACTTTGATCACTTGGTAAAGGTGGTGTTTTCTTAGTTTCTCCGCTGTAGATTACTGTTTTCCTCTTTGTACTTCATATATGCATTTTGTGGGGAAATACTTTGAAATGATGGAAATATCCTGTTTTTACCATAATTTTGCACCTACATATTTAGCATCAATTGATGATTTTTGCCTGCTACAACTGTTACTGTGTTTGTTAAAGGACAGTTCTCTATTTCTATTTTTCCTTCTACACTGGAATTCTACTAGGAGGAAAAGCTGTGCCTTCTCTCCCATTTATTTATTTGTTTATTTACTAGTAATAAGTCATAGATACTTATATTATCCTATGGCTTATAATCTATTATTGCTATTACTTATTTTGTTGCTGAACTTGTTTCAGCTGCAGTCATTAGATGCTTCTTTAAGTTGGCTCCTATGTCATTTTGACATTCTACCATTAATTTTTGGAGACTTCCTTACTTTCTGGCACTGAAGAATGTTCCAGGCTCATCTTGTACTTTCATTGCTCCAGGTGTGCAATCAACCATTTCTCCAGGAGCCCTGCTTCCTTTTCTTGGGGAAATTGTATTTAGAAACCAAGATCTGGGACTGAGGTGTGTTGATTACTACTTTATCATTATGCCTTTTGAGACTGCTTCTAGGGTCTCTCAGCAGACAGATCTAGAAAACACACACATACACACACTCCCACACACCTCTATCCATTTTAATTTTTATATATCAATCTATTAATGCATACTAATACCTGTTAAACAACAGAAATTTCATCCCAGCTTTCCTCTATTGTATATTGTAATTTCTTTCTCCAACAGTAAGAAGCCTGGCACTCATCTACAATACATTTACTTATTTGCTCATTCTTAGCATACACAATAAGTAGTTTCAGAACTGACACTCATGCTCTAAAGTATGTTGTTTATATATAGTCATTTTGTCTTGAGTTTTATAGTGTTTAATCCAAATACTGTTTTACATAACCACTTAGATTATTTTATTCCCTATCCCCTGAGGTGTGGTTATAGTTATATTCCATTTTGAGTTCCTCTCACATCCTAGTTTATTTCTTTCATTCATTCATTCATTCAGTGCTGACATATTCCCATGATTAAACAGTTAGAACTATACAAGAAGATTTACTCAGAGAAATGTCACTTCCTCATTTTACCCCATTCCATCCCCTATTCCTGACACCTGTACTTACCTATATTATGTTACTAATCTCATTAGTTCCTGGAGTTTACCTCTGATATATCTTTTTGAGCAAATGAGCAGATCATTCGTAATTTCTTATAATCCCTTCTTTCTTACATGAAACATTCCATATTGTCAATACTCTTTTGCACTTCACCTTTTCGTTTAATTATATGTCTTGTAGCTCTTTCCATATCGATTACTAGAGATTTTCCTTATTCCTTATTTTACAGCTTATGGTACTTCATCATGTCAGTCTACTGGGTTTATTCAGGCACCTATCCCATCGGTGGGCAGTTCATACTCACAAGCAACACTGTGAGAAATCGCTGTGTGCACCTGCATTACTGCTGTTGGCGGGTGCACCTAGGATGAAGTTTGATGCCTTGATATCTGGCCTATGTAATGGAATTAAGAGTACTCTAAAAACTAAAAAAAAGTCCTATAAATATAGCAAAATAAAACTATGTTACTAGCATTATTTTCTTTTCCTGATCTAACTATAACTTCATTTGGGTCAAGTGATTCAAGTCAACAAATATTTGTCCTCAGTTACTAAATCTGATGTTTAATTTTCAAAATTTTCCCCATGTGTTTAAATTCTATATTCTAATCACACATTCATTTATTAAGAATGTTCTGATATTGGCTAGTTTTTACTTAAAAGCTAAACCCATTATTTGTATAGTTACTAGTGTAAAAACACTATTATATCATTGTCTCTACTTTATTCTTATAGGGACAGGAGACAAAAATTCCAAACTAGAGTTCTAAGTTGTTTCCTTCCACTCCCTAAGTATGGATGTCATAAGACTGGAGGAGATAAACCAGATTATGGAATGCCAGGAACACTCTTCACGTTCTCTGACAGTGAGTTAGAAGCTTGGGGCCTCTCCTCCTTTCTTGTGGGAGGAATTACACCAAATTCAGCTTTCTTTTGGGAATGCAGGTCCTCAGAACCCTCAGTCTCCACATGCTGAGTAGCTGATATTTTGAAATGTGCAAATGATTCTACACAGTCTGTTTAGGGTCTGTTTCTGGTCCTGCCTTTAACCTGGGTTCAAAGAGTCCTTAAAGTAGCCCAAGGTAGTTCATCAGATTTTCTTGGGGTATGGAATCCAGGATCTAAGGAATATTTGCTTTGTCTTTTCCTTTGTTATGGCCTACAAAGACCTGTTTAATCTACCTGCCAGGTCCAACAAAGCTTCAGAAAATCACTTGCTGAGAGTCTCCAAAGTCATGGTTTCTGCAATTTTATCCGATTCAACTGGGCAAATCAATTCAGAAAAAAAATGTCAGGTCTGCCAAAAGGTGCTTCTGATAAGGCTTCAAATACGTGTCTCATCTACTTAACCTGTTGTGTCACTAATTATGTGTAATGCACAGCCTAGTTTGTCAGCAGTTTTGCAGGGACCTTGCTGTCTGGGTTGGGACCAGTTGAAGTGTTTGCACTTGCAACACATGGACTCTTCATCCACAGTCACAGGAGTCAGATAATGTTTCAAACCATATCACTGAACCCAACATTCTAAAAATTATAATACCATAGTTAATTGTTTAAATTTAAGCAACCATAAAAAACAGTTTTTTGAGAAACACACAGAATAAGCTTCCAAGTGGTGTTCTTATGGCCTTACCTCCTCGGTCTCGGGCAGCTAAACTTTGACCCCTTCTTAATGTAATGTCCAGCTGGTACATTCCGGGATCGGCCAGAGGGACATCTGCATTACTGGTTCCAGAAGTATTTATTTTCTGGGAAGTGACAAATATACAAAATATTATCTTTGTTCTATTTCCCTCCAGTGGGGGCCATATATAGTTTAACTCAAACTATAAGAAGTATTCAATAAAACAAACCAATTTGTGAATTCATATATCATAATCACCCAATTCTCTGAAGGTTTGAAATTCGTGAAATTCATTAAACTCAATAAAAACCTGGCAGTAGTGGGAATTCTTGTTTCAATTCAAATTAGAAATAACAAATGGAACAAGAAAAACACTATCCCTGGAAAGCCCCACGTAATTCAACTGAGAAGGACCAACACAGGAATAGTTTCTGAGGTAAAAATGCAATTAACGATGAACGGAAAATAAAGGTATCCAAGAACACTTGGTTTGCCACATAACTAAGCTGAAAATTAAAATGATTTATGCAGGTGACTTTAAGTCCTTCATGCAAAAGGGCTCAAGTAGGTGAATTACATCCTTCTATCTCAGCCCCAACATAAAATATGACATAATTGTACAGAAATAAATTCACACAGCATTTAAATAGTTTTTGCAAGTAAATAATATAAATATAAAAGCAATATATAATGCTGTTTTCTATGGAATAAAAGTACACAAGCTATTTCTAGAATTAAATATCTTTGCAAGGTTACCTCTATGGAATATCTTGAGCAACAATATACTGTTTATTTAATAGGCATTGAGTTACAAACCCACTTGAAGAGGAGTAACTATATTAAAATAACACAATAGAAACATATCATAAAAATTATATAGGTCATAATTTATACTTTCTGCCACTTTGATACAGCAGAAAAATTTACTTTTTTCACATGTTTGAGATGATTTTAAATTATTATAATTCTTTTCCAATTCAAAAATCAGTGGTGTTTTGTTTTGGAATAGTATGCATGAATAAGATAAAATATTAGACACCAGTCTGGCTCTTTCAGTTCCAATGTTTACATGAAATACAACTATAAAGAATCATTTTGTTGGAGGTTTCAAGACCATGATAAGATCTTTTCTATAGGAGAAATTATCATTTAAAATAAGAAATAGCACAACTTTGATTGATAACCCAAACTCATCATTTCTCCTCTGGTAATAGTAAAATAGAATTCTCTTCTCATGACATCCCTGTTGCTGTGAATGACAGCATCATCCCCCAGTCACGCAGGCTGGCTTTGATTTCTTCACTTCCCTCTCCACCACATTCAAATAGTTACCAAATTCCATCCACTCCATTTCCATATTACATCCCCAGTTATCTTCGTCTTTTACTTATCGTTACTACTAATTTGGATCAGGCCTTCAAACAACCAAGGAGCAAAAGCTACAATGATTGCCTCACTCTTCCTGCAAACATCTAATTGCCCCTCCTCCTTGGGGTTACCAAGTGTGACAATATAGGATATATCATCCAACACTTTTGTCCGTATTCTTATACAAACAAATACACATACACATAGGTTTATTTTTTGTGGTTGAGTTTTCAGTTTTTGTTTGTTGCTAACAAAGATAGTATTATATTTTGTCTATTATTTCATAGCTTATTTAACTTCAGTCATAGACACTTTTCTAACAACACATAGATTTATCTAGTTCCCTTTTATGTACATAATTTTCCAGTGTGGGAACACCATGATTTCTTTAACTATCTCCCCACTGATGAATATATGAGTTGGTTTCAGTATTTGCCACTATAGGGACCTGTGCTTTAATTCTCTTAAGACATATAAACTTTTTCCCAAAGGTTTAAATAGTTCATGCTCCTATTGAAAGGCACAAGAGTGCCTATTTCCCATATCCTAGCCAACATAAGTTGTTACTAATTTTCTAGTTTGATTGGCAAAAAATATCATCTCCCTTCATATACATTTCTTGAACTATGATAAGTTGTCTTGAAACTAGTGTAAAGAGCTAGAGTACCAGCAGTTCACTGGGCCACCCAGAAGATGCATGGTGGAGAGAGAGAAAGCAACCAAGGTCTTCTAAACCACTTTTCAAAGAACTGTTTGTAAGTGGGTCTAATTAATATGCAAATTTAAATTCAAATCCAGCAAACATTTGTTAAGCTACAAGTATGCTCCAAGCCTTTCATTAGGTTCTTTTATATACATTATTTCAAAATAAAACCATTAATAAATACTAATTGTAGATAGATTAACTTCTTTTTCAAAAAATACAGAATAAAATCTATAGGAAGGGAGAAGTTTCTTTAGTGTTTTGATAGGTATCTTAAAAATAAAAAAGTTTGAATGTTTAGATATTTATATTTTTATAGCTTTCACTGCTCTGTTCAGTGCTTCTTAAAGTCTTGAGTGAATAATTCATACAATACCTGCTTTAATATTATTACATTTACTGGGTGGCATTGGTTAATAAAATTATTAGGTTTCAGGTGTATAGTTCTATAACACATCATCTGTACACTGCATTGTGTGTTCACCACCCCAGGTCAAGTCTCCTTCCATCACCATATATTTGTCCCCCTTTACTGGTTCCTACTTCCCTCTTTATGGGCTGGTTAAGGACTTTTCAAAAGGAATTTTAACTATAGTAGATTTTTCACTTTTGCTGTTTTAGAATTTAACACTTTGTTAAGAGATTACTTCACTGGACTTCATATATTGGCTTTTAAAAGCCTATGCAATACTCCATTTTCTGTGTGTATATGTATGTGTGTATCACATTTTATTTGTCCATTCATCTGATGACAGCCATTTAGACTGTTCTCATATCTTGGCTGTTATGAATAATGCCGTAATGAATAGCAATGCAGATATCTCTCCAAGGTACTGATATCATTTCCTTTGGATATACAAGGTCTGTCCAGAAGGTATCTGGCTATATAATATGGAAAACAGAGACATTTATTGAAGCATACACAAGATACAAGAAACACTGTACATAAGACAATGACACCTCAGTCCCCTTCAAAGTAGGCACCTTTGGACCTCACACAGTTCTCCCAATTGCCATCAGCTGTCTTGGTGTATTTTCCTGAATCTCCTAGATGGTCTGAAATCTCTTTCCTTTCAAAGGTGACTTAGTTTTGGGAAAAGTCAGAAGTCACAGGGTACCAAATCTGAGCTGTAGGAGGGCCTGGGTGAGTTGATGTTTCACCAAAAAACTCTGCACAAGATGTGATGCATGAGCAGGTGCATTGTTGTGATGAAGCTGCCAATCACCAGTTGCCCATAGGTGCAGCCCTCTGAATTATCTGAATAATTTACATAGAGAATGTTCAAGCTTAACACAAAATGTGATGCAGATTCACTGCTCTACTCACTCATTTTGAATATGATGGTCACACAGTACACATGCTCACTCAACGACATCTATCACCCCCACTGACTAGTACAGTGAAATCATCATTGTTCATGCATGTGCATTCCAGTTGACTCTCCTTGGCTTCTAGGTTACACTGATGTCATGAAAACTGTTCTTATTATATTAACAATGGTTGGACTTTTTCCAGACAGATCTCATATGCTGCCTCCACCATCTTGTTCTCCATGTCTTCCTATCTACTCTTCAAGGACCATTTTATTAGCACTTTATATTCTTTTGTCCATTATCACATTCTATCACAAATATCATATTTGCCATGTTAGATTGCAAACTTTTAAAATTGAGGAACAGAGTATTTAAGGATCAACTAAGCATAAACTGTTATAGAGGCTATGAGGAGGGAAATATGGCTCTAAGGACACATGATCTAGCAGAGTGGGCACATACATGGGGATCTATAATAAAGTTGGCTACTCCACGGGCAGTTAGTTCTTTTTTTTCTGTGCCCAACTATGGCATTTAATGTGGTTTAGCACCTTCTTTCATGAGGAACCTAAGTATAACCTTAGAACCTTTCTCAATATAGTGCTCTAGGCTGCCATTACCAATTATTCAAAATTGGCACCAAAAATGAAACTGTCCACTCAAAAGCTCTAAAGACAGACTGTGCTATAATGGAGTTATGTTCACAGGAGAGCAGGAAAGGCCAACAATTATGGGGGAAGATTCTGAGGAGTCCTCATAGAGATGACAACAAAGCAGGGTGTGAATATACAAACATTGATAAGAGAGAATGGGAATATTTATGTGGTCCCAATGGTAAGCAGTCCCCAGAGGGTGCATCACATGAATGTATGAGCACTGAGGTGGAAAGGATAGCTTGTGCACCTTGATGCCAGGCTGAGGAGTGTTCAACCCATGGGCAACAGGAAACCATCACAGGCTTTGAAGGGAGAAGCCGTATAACCAGGCCTCATTTAACCAATATTTATTGCCCATCTTTCATTTTTCTTGTTCTGGACTAAGTGCTTAGATTACAGAGATGAACAAAACTGGGCCTTTTTTCTTTGTAGGGTAGAAGAGAATAGAGAAATCTTGTGGATATAGAACTTTAAAAGGTTTTATAAAAGTGCAGTTTAAATCATAAGGGCTTCATCTGGTCAGTGTTGATGGAAATAAAAAATGAATTTGAGAGATATTGAGGAGACTCAATCAGCTGCATCTGTCAACTGACAAGATGTGGGAGATACGGGGAATGGATTGATGAGTCACTCAGAAGTGTGAGCTGAGCTTCTGGGTGGATGGTAATGTCAGTAGTAGAAAGCAGAAATGAGTGGAGAAGCAAGTTCCCGGCCACTACTGTGTCCAGTTCCAAGAATATCTCCAACTCCGTAAAAGAAGGAAGTATAGAACTTAAATAGATCTAGAGAGACACCTCTCCTCAGGTTCACTGAAATGATTCCAAGAAAACTGGTAGGCCAATTATGGAAGGATACTAGAAATATAATTTTTTTAATTATAAAGTACCTTTTTATAAACACTTATTTAGTTACCAAATGTAAGGATATATTAGGAAAGATGTATCTGAAATGCTAGGCACTCATATAGTTCTCATACAAACTTTATCATTTTAAATCTTTTATGTTTTCAAATTTAACATTTATTTAGTGACTATTATCAGAACTTCAAATATACCTCTCTTTTTCCTTAATTGCCATGCTCCACATTTACATGTGTGTTTCTATTTTCCAACCACTTTATTGAAGTATGATTGATATGCAAAAAGCTGTGTATAACTCAATGAGTTTGGGGTAAGTATACCCCTGTGAAGTCATTGCTACCATCAACGCTACAGACATATCTGGCACTTCCCAAAGTCTCTTCCTGCCAAATTTGTTATTGCTATTATTATTATCTATGTATGTATGATAAGAACACTTAGCATGAGATCTACGCTCTTAGAAAATTTTAAGTATATAACATGGCATTGCTAACTGTAGGCAGTATGCTGTATAGTAGAATCTCCAGAACTTATTCATCCTGTATAACTGAAACTTCATACCCTTTGACCATGACCTCCCATTTTCTCCTTCCCCCAGACTCTGTCAATGTTAGATTCAACATATAAGTGAGATCATACAATATTTGTCTAACTGTGTATGGTTTATTTCCCTTGACCTGATGTTTTCCAAGTCCATCTGTTTTGTTACAAATGATAGATTTTCCTTCTCCTTTTAAGGCTGTATAACATTCCATTGTATATATGTACCAGATTTTCTTTTCTCTCTTTTTTTTTCACAGTTCAACCCCCTTCAGTGCTCATAGCCCACAGATAAGGAGGCTGGGCAAAGGTTAGAGTTTGCAATTTACTCTGGCATGGGTATAGTATGAGGGGCCCACAGGGAAGGACCCACCATAAATCCACCAAATTTTCTTTATCCATTCATCCATCAATGGGTTTGTAGGTTGTTTCCATATCTCAGCTATTCTGAATAATGCAATGAACATAGGGGTGCAGGTGTCAAGATCCTGATGCAAATTCCTTTGCATAAATACCCAGAAGTGGAATTGCTGGATTATATGCAACCATGAAAGCTTTTGAATAGCCAAAACAATCTTTAGAAGAAGAACAATTCTTGAGGCATCACACTTCCTAATTTCAATCTATACTACAAAGTTGTAATGATCAAAACAGTTATGATACTGGCATAAAAACAGACATATAGACCAAAGGAACGGAATGAAGAGCCCAGAACTAAACCTGCACATAAAAAGTCAACTGATCTTCTCTGAGGACACCACAAATACAAAGTGGAGAAAGAATAGCCTCTTTAACAAACAATGCAGTAAAACCGAATATCCACATTCAAAGGAATGAAATTAAATCCTTCTCTTACACCATATGCAAAAATCATCTCAACATGGATTAAAGACTTAAACATAAGGTCTGAAATCATAAAATGTATAGAAGAAAACAGGGGAAAACTCCTTAACATTGACCTTGGTAATGAATTTTTGGACACCAAAAGTATAGGTAGCAAAACCAGAAATAAAGAAGAATGTCTATAGCAAATTAAAAAGCTTCTGCACAGCAAAGAAAATACTCAACAAAATGAAAAGACAACCTATGAAACAGGAGAAAATATTTGTAAACCATATACATAAGAAATGTTAATATCCAAAGTATATAAGGAACATACAATTCAATAGCAAAAATAACAAACAAATAACTTAAAATATGGGCAAAGACCTGAATACACATTTTTGCAAAGAAGATACACAAATATACAAAAGGTCAACATGTACAACATGAGAAGGTGCTCAACATCACTAATCATCAAGGAAATGCCAATCAAATTCACAATGAGATATTACCTCATATGTGTCAGAATGTCTATTATTTAAAAAAAATAAAAGATAAATACTAGTGAGGATATGGAAAAGCGGGAATCCTTGACATCTTTGGTGGGACTGTAAAGAAAGGATAAGCTCAAAATTTTAAATTCAGAGTTCAAGGCACAGTTAGAGAATTAGGGAAGTATCTATGACAACACTCAGAGTTTTAGGGCTATTAAAGCCAAAAAGTAGATGTAATGTTTGAAGCTGTAAATTATAACATAAGTGAAATACACAACCTTATTAGGTCACCTATGGGAAAGTCAGGAAAAAAAAACTGTGGAAGGAACAGAGCCTGAGAATTTGAAAGGAAGCATTTGGAAGGACTATAACCAGAGCACCCACATTACCTACTCCACCAAGGCACCATTTTTGCAGAAGCTCTTCCTCTACTCTTTCTGGCTTAAACTACTCTTCGCTTAAAGTACAACAGCTCCCATGTGTGGGAATGTTATATGTCCTCATGTTTAACCCTTCTTTCCCTCATTTTATGTGGACCTCCAGGGTACTGTGCAGTGATCACTGATGTTCACATACAGATGCTTCTGTGGGGTTAGCTCATCACCCAGAGGTCAAAGAATGTCAATGCTCTGCAGTTACTAGGTGAGGAAACCTTTGTGTGCTTATGAATATTTTCAACAATAATTGGGAAAAAGGCTTATGATTGGGGTACCCATATAATTTATAATTCAAACTGGTGCTCTTTGGAGAGTGAAAGGCAGTGCTGTTAGTAATTACATGGCATAAATAGGCATAAACAAAACAGTCTCAGGTAAACTGGAATGCATGGTTATAGTATTCAACAAGTTAGCCTTCTGTTCGCCAGAAAGATAAGTTATGCAGAAAAGACAGATCTTCTGGTCATATCAAGCTTTATGATAGTTTGTTTTGGAACCAAACTACAACCCTGGATTGAATTCTGGTATTTTGATTTTGCAATAGCCCAAACAAAACAAAATGGGCCAATAAATCCTCAGGCCCACTAAATGACAATATCAACTGCTGCTGGAAAAAGTATGAAGTTCAGAACAACCAGAGCACCCTTTCTGGGACTCGCACACATGAGTTCACCCTGGGCTTGTCCACTGAATTGACTGTTCTGTGCAGTTTCATTACAGCTGGTAACCTTGCCACCTACACATACAGGTAAAATAACCTGTGCTAAAGGAAAGCAAACAAAATTCTCTTTTTTCCATCTTGACATACACATACCACTCCTTTCTGGAATTAGACCCTGCAACCAGCATTTGTGTTACAAGAGGCAAATTCTGATGAGAAAGAGCAGACATGATATTAACTATTTAACTTCAGCCAGAAATACTTATTCCCTCTGCACCTTTGTTTTCTCATCTTTAAAATGGAGCAATACCTTACAAAGGACTGTTTTGATTATGATATAAAATACATAAAATGGCTTTGTAAATGTAAGAAATTATTTATTTATTCACTTTGAAATTATTTAAATATAAGTAGGCATTTGGGAGAGAGGGGGAGCCATTACAAAACAGGAAAGATTGTAGGAGTCAAAACACAAAGACCTGTAAACAGGCCTAGTTGGATATTAAGTTCCTCTAAGGAAAAGGGAAAGTTTTTTGAGCTCTAAGGGCCTCATTTTCCTCTTCATTAAAAAAATTAACTTCTCAAAATTAAAAGAAATAATGTAACTTATACTGTTTTGTAAAGTGTCAAGTGATTTATAAGTGCAAAGTAGGTTCTTCCTGCTTTTTGCAAATTATAATTTATTCAGGGTTTAGCACAAATAATGGCCCTTTTTTGTGTGCTCATAATCTATGCCAAATCTTCTATTACAAAATCATAAGCATGTAACTGTGTAACAATATCACACTCAAGCCTACTACGTGACATTTTAGGTGAAATGTTCAAATTGCTCTCCATCTTGGTCAAGGCATTCCCATACCCTACCAGCCATACTCAGTGATGGACCTTGTATTTTGTGTACACTGCTGCTAGTGTTCACCTTTGGTTAATCAGAGATTAGAAAGTATATTATGCTCACATTGTCTTCTGCTTTCAGTAGTATTAAAATGCTTAATGATTGTTATCCTTACTATTTTTACCACAACAATATTTGTCAGACCTGAGAGGGTGATAAATTTTGTTTGCATTAAGTCTTCTGAACATTTGTCTTTCAGTGAGTACCCAAGCATTCATTTTCTCCCCATGCTCCCCTGCAAAACAAAAACAAAAACAAAAACAAAACAAAACAAAAACCTCTGTGAAGAAAAGACTTGTCAGAACAAAGTTTACTATATTGTCTTTACAAACCCTGGTAAAAAAAATTTAAGAGTTTTGGCAACAAGACAAATAACATAGTTTTGGATTACAACTCAAAGTATAAAATAAATATTCACAATTCCATATTGATATAAATAAATGATTTGAATAAATAATTAACAAATACAATGGGAGGGGGACAGACAAGTCTATGGTGCAGAAGAATTCAAAGTTGCTCAAGGAAGTCGAGCATAACTTCCTACCTTTTAAGTGGGGGCTGTACCTAGTGACTTCCTTCCAAAGACGACAGCATGGGGACACCTGGCATAAACACTACCTGAACCAGGTGATCAAGATTGAAAGCAATACTGACAAGCCGCCTTGATAGCATGCTCCGTGGACAGTTTCTGATGAGTATGGCACTCTATCGGTGTGGTCTTCCTTCCAGAACACATAACCTCTGCCTAACCATTAAGAAAATATCAGAAAAATCCAAATTGAAGGTCTTCCTCCAAAATACCTGACCAGCACTACTCAAAACTGTCAAGGCCATCAAAAACAATGACCGTGTAAAATGCCCTCACAGCTGTGAGGAGCCTAAGGAGACATGAAGGCTAAATAAACTGTCATGTCCTGGATGGGATCCTGGAATAACAAAAGGACCTTAAGTGAAAACTGAAGATCTGAATAGAGGAGGAATTTAGTTAATATTCATCTATTCAATAGGGGTTCATTAGATATGATGAATGTACTGTACTTATGTAAGATGTTTAATAGAGAAAGTTGGGGGTGAGGTATGTGGAAATTTTCTGTTCTATCTTCATAACTTCTCTGTAAATCTAAAAATACTCAAATGAAAAGTTTAACTTTCAAAAGTTTCTGTACAGCTAATTCTTTTGAGTAAATAACCTAGTGTTTGGAAGGGAACAGCTATTCTAATTTGGTCTTTGCTTAGTCAGTATAATGATCAATTTCACAGAAGGCACATTAGTGATAAATTGACCTAATACACCTCAGCACCCCCTTTCCCATCCACCATTTAACAAGTGAGAAACTGAGAGTGGTACATCTAAGGGATACAGTTACACATTTATTATGCTTTATAGAAGTAATTTGCTAGTACTGTTGCTGTAAACCTTTTAACTGTGGGTAACAGAAAAATTATAGCAATAATCATTCATTAAGCTGTAAGTCATAAGATTTGGGTGTTACTTCCTACTCCTCCATAAAACAAACTTTATTACCTCAGGCAAATAACTTACCCTCTTTGACTCTCAATTCCACATTTGTAGAAAGAAGAGATAGATCTACATTACTTTTAAATTCGCTTTTAAAAAAGAGAAAGATTCTATCCATATTTCTTTCTTTAAATTTTGACTCCACCTCTCAGTAGTTTAGGCTCTCACCTTAAAAAAAATGAGAATAAAAATGGTGCCCACCTGAGAGAATTGTTGTGAAAAAGAAGTAAAGTAATATACATAAAATGGTATCCTATGTTAAACATGTAATATTTTGGCCCTCCCTTTGTACTCCTAAAATGACAGTCTAATTATAGATAAGGATATAAACTCGATAGTGTGAAAGATAGATTAGTATCTAGTTGAGACCTCAAGACACATTCACAAAGGAAGTGCTTTGAAGGAGGAAAGTCTGAGCAGTTGTAGGAAGTCACTTGTCATGGTTAAATATTGAGATTTTGCTCTTTTCAGAGATCCCCAGAACCCTTCACCCATACATTGAAATGTTCTCACCTGAGAGAGGTTTTGAGAGGAAGTGTGTCATTCATAATTATTCTTAAC